CCCCATCGCTCTACCAAGAGGTGCTTAACCGGTGTGCGATCGTTCACGACCACGCGTTCGCAAGGCTTCCAACTGATTTAAAAGCCCTGAAATTGCATTACCCACTCCTCTGACCAGATTCTGCTTTCTATTTACTCAGCCACCAATGGGGAAGGGGCGCCTTCGGAACATACGGGAACACACATTATTTGGAGCTCTATTGAACTTTCAGGATTTTGTAGAATCTTTCCTCACATCCGTACTCATAATACTGCATTAGGTTTTTTATAGTTAAAAGCATTGCTTGATTTATAAACTTTTAAGTCCCGGAACGCGGCGAAAATTAATTATTAATTTAATGGAAATATTTATATATTTATAATATAATGTAATAATATTTCCAAAGTACCGGATCGCCATTCAATCGCATTTCGCCAGAAATCAAGTCCTCGTTACATGTAACCAATATGTATTGTATAGCTTATTGTTGAAGAATCCTTTAGTTTAAATACAAATGAAATAACACTTAATTTACACTTTCCACTACTTAATTATTCCTGTTTGAATTGTATAATTGAACAACACAACTCTCCGGCAGCTATTATGCATGGTTTTTCACGTGTAACAAAACTAATAACATATTGAGATAAAAAACATCAAACGGTCAGAGAAGTCAGCAAAGTGAAATAACCGAATTGGAAAATTGGATGTTTGTGCATACTGACCAACAATTTAAATTACCTCCACTGCCCTACGTCTTTTTCTCTCAGAAAACGAAATGTACAAAACCGTGATTGAGAAGTTGACTTCTGCCTTCCTCTGAACAATGATATTATAGTGATCACGACGGGTAAATAGTAAACATAACCCTTCGATAATTGATGGGATGTTCGAATGGATTCGTGGTTCTATAACAATCCATTTCTGTCACACCAACGTGGTGAAAATCTGTGGCGTAGCCTGATTTTTGGGTTAAGATACGATACTAGAGAAATGGAAAAAATAATTTAAAACCCCATAAATCTACCCCTATGTCTTCAGAATTTTGTAAATATTATTTAAAACTCCGTAACTATTGAAATTTAACAAGTTTTTCTTTTGAGAATAAATCTCCAAAAGAGCTCTTTTTAAGACCCAGACCACCGCACATCCATGATTTTTGCTCATAAATTTTGATATTACAATGTGTCTGTCGTTTTATAATGTTCGTAATGATACTGAGAAAATCTTTTTGGGATCTTCTATAATTATATTTTTCTCTTCAGAGAATCTTAGAGTCTGTATTCATCTTTTTTTTCAATTTGTCCACGGCACAACAATACGATTCCATAATTATATAATCTTACATGAATTGCGTTATGATCAACATTTCACATCGAAGATGTACATTGCGAACACATGCCCTTCTCCATTGAACCAGCACAGTCCCTAAACTAAGTTGGGTCAAATATACAGTTGCCCCATGCATTAAAATAAGTTAATAAACTTAAATAAAACTACAATGCTCATAAACAAATCTGGTTCTCTTACAAACAGAGAAGAAACCAATGAAGTTTCGTAACACGATAGCTATTCAGAGCGAATCGTTCATCCTCGTGAAGAATCGAATCCTCAACTGCGCGATGTTTGGCATACGAATAGAACAAAACTTAATACAAACACAAAATAACAAATGAACAATTTACAATTACATTAAAATGAAAATGGCTGATATTGTCAAGGTATGTAACATCACCCACAGGCTCGTAATTTCCATATCACCAATTCATCAAACACATTTTCAACCTGCCATCGATGCTACGCCCCTGGTGAAAATACCGAACGCGCACGGGCGTAACCAACGGCCTTCAGCTTCACGTATTTGGAGCGCACTGCAAGCCCATAATGTTGGCCGTTACGGAGCCAGACAATGCAGGCGAATGCGTGTCCCGCGGAGCACACAGAGCTCTTGATGAGGTCAGACACACAGACCGCGCCAACGCGCGCCGGTGTTGGCCGAAGCGCAATCTCTCGCCGGCCGCCAGAGCGCGTACGGAGCAAGTGCCGCAATCCCATTAATCCCAGGGCCACTCCGCGCCGCACGCTTCCTACGCGCTCTCCATATACGCTCGCCACGCACACGCACAGGCCCAGGCCCACGCGCCGCCGGGGCGGATCCAACCGCCTGGCCGCACGAGAATTCCAGCGGCCGGCTGCTCTCGTCTATTTGGCAGGCGAATACCGCGGCAGTGTTCTAACAAAAGGACCACGAACCCTTCCTCATAGTTTCCCGTTCTGCCTCCCTACACACTTGCAGGCACTACACCAAAACACACGTCGGGTGAAGAATGGGGAGATTAGAGCTTGTCTCAAGTGGCGGGGGATGTGCTCCCTCGGAGAGATACCTGGCGGTGGGTTAGCAAGTTACCTCCGGACAAGTCTAACTAGGGCGTCTGACCACTTGTCCCATAGACGAGAACAAACTCCTCCCACACATCTCTGGAAATAGCATGCACTACACTTAAGGGACTAATTTCCCGAGTAGTCGCCACGTACGAGACAGGCTAACGTGGCTCAGGGCAACAACTGCACAGCAGTGTCTGGTCAAGAGGTTCTAAGGTTCCTCTCTCGGCGGTGGCACGATTTTCGACACTACGTAGAGAATTCGATCGAATTCAGTCGCTGTCTCGGAACGAATTCACGGAACCGGCTATTCTGATTGGTAGTTTTGCGTGCTTTCACAAATCAACACCAGGCGAATGCCGGAGCAGTACCCTAACAATCGGGCCACGGACCGCACGCGATCTTTCCTTCCTATTTCTCCTATCTTCAATATCTTTACTTCCACACAGTGCACTACCACTCTTGTTTGGGAGACTACTTGGGAGCTTGTTCCGACTTGGACGGTGCCCCACTGGCGGGAGATACCTGGTAGGGGAACCCCGCTGCCCGACATGTAGGTCGGTGCCGTACATCACCATCCCGCAGGGGAAGATCGCCGCGTCCTCCCGCGACAAAAACGTGTACGGGGCTAATGAACTTAAAGATCTTAGCAGTTGGAATGCCCACAACCACCAATCAAATCATTTTCACACACCCGGACCCAAAAACACTAAATGAGTAATGCTTTAATCCGATTAGGCAAACTAGGACGATCTAAAATAAACGTTTTAAATATATAATATATAAATATGTATATATGTAAATATTATATATATATACATATATATGTTATAAACAATAACATTAAACACGTGCAATACAAATTTACGTAATTGATAATAAATTACGTGTCTTATTTTAAATAACGGGCAAATATATTAAAACATGAAAATAATTCTTGAAAATGAAAATTTTTGGAAGAATAAGAGGGAAGAAAATATATAATATTTAAAACAAGTAAACGATGTTTATGGTAACATGGATGGCCGAGGTGGTTAAGAGCGTGAACAAACTCGGCATTTCAGGTCCGAAGGGTTCGAGCCCCGCCGTGGGCACGTTTGTTTGTCTGTTGTCTCCCTTGTATGTGTTGTCGCGCAGAGCCTGGCGTTCTGCTAACCAAAGATCAGAGGAGCCCACACGTGTGTAGGGGTCTAGTGTAGGATGAAATGTGAGTCCCACAGGGTTGTAAAGGGTAACCAGCTGTCGGCTGGTAAAAGTCCTAGGGGCGAAAAATGTTTATTTAACTCTGAAGAAGACCAAGTGAGCGAAGATCCTGCAACGGGGCCACACACCGCACTCGCTAATAGCGAAGCACCGAGCTTACACATTGATTGTGCACGAGCTGCCCACGCATTCACGAACGCCGGCGTTCGGCCGAACAACCGCATCAGTGTACACGCGACCAGCGCACTGTTTACTCTGCGGTTTTCGACTTGCAGCTTACGCAAATACCGGACACAAGTTTTCTGGGAAACGTTGCACGAGCGACTGACAAACATGAAGCTGCTCGAGAACACTTTCTGCTTGAAATTTCAGAGGTAATGTGATTGCGATTCGGGTTAATAAAATTATGGTAAAAATTAATATCGTAATTGAAGTTTAGGATTCGTATTATTATTTGCTTTACAATCTCTTAGCTTTCTAGTTATTTACTTTAGGGTATAATACTCTCGATTCGTAGGTCATAAAAAAAAAGAACACTTTTTACATGCCTACACTGTCAGAAATGTCCGCATTATTTTAATGAAATGCACATTAAAATAATTATCATGAACGACATGAAATTCAATGTACACGTGTACATTAGAATGCACGAGTCAAAGCTTTATGGTCGTATCTGGAATGAACGAACGAACGAACGAACGAACGAACGAACGAATGAACGAACGATATTGATGGACTGGTGATCATGAATACATTAAATGAATGATGAGGGTCGGGGCAAACAGCAGAACCTCCGCATTCAATCTGATTTTAATTTATGCATTAAATTGAAAGAACAAATATGTTTTTAATGACAAATTTAAAGGAAAAATACTTTTTCTAAAGTGCAAGGTCACCTTATGTTTCATGTACAACACATCAATCAACATATTTAATGACTTTTCTGTCAGTGTAAGTTCGACATTATAATATCTTATTCAAGTCAGATTCATAAAGTATACTCTTAGATTATATCCACGTACACTGAAGATTCTCACTCTTCAATACTTTATCCATCAATATATAATATATTATAATCAAATCCATTTTCTTTCACGTCAAATCACATCGTAGTCAGAATTACGATTCTGTTGCCTCTAACTGCCAATGACATTGTTATTCCACTGCATTTCGGGAGTTGAGGTTTGAGGACGGACGAACCTTTTACTATATTTCTTTGAAGATGTAATTAAGTGTGGAATTATAGAAATGTAAATAATACGATTTATTTCTTTTCTCACAACCTAATATTTATAACAAATATACTAAACATTCATCAAGAGATCAAGAAAAAACAAATTATTTATATTTATTGCATTGTACGTATTAAGCGATAAGTCAATTGCAAATTACTTGTGCACATAGTTAATGAGACTGCTGTCGCTCAGAACGCATCTATCCTTAGAAGTGACAAAATATTTACCGTTATAGCAGGAGGAGAGACAAGAGAAGTCCGATCACTTACCTGTAACAGAAAAAAAAACGAAATTAAAGTAGAGCAATGGCATACAAAATTACATTAACAAAGATATAATGGTAAAGATATAATAAATATATAAGCAGTTAGCTACCAGAAAACACTTGTGAAACTTTTACAAAAATAAACGCGAAAAAAATAATTTTCGCGTCTACATGAGGTTTCATATGAGCTAAACATGTTCTTGTCTCGTTTCAAGGGGGAATCACCGGATATGAATTATATGCTTCTTGAAATTATAAAGATCACCTAAACTTCGCAAAATCTTAAAAAACATGAATTTTAGTAAATAATGGAAGCATCAATTGGGAATTTTATAGGTTATTTAAAATATTCGTTTTCTCCGCATAGAGAATTTATTCCTATACGAGTTTAGGGGCAGATCCAAATAATATTTCAGCGAGGTTGGGTTACAGGGCATTCCTATTCCCGTTTCAAACCCACTCAACTCCCTGCAAATATTTCGAAACATGTCTAGTCTGAAATTTACATTATGGACATTCATAACTGGATTAGTCTTTTGGATGTGATGAGAACAAAATGTAATTGCTCTGGATAATCTTGAGTAAAATTACAACAAAAATGCCCCGCCAGTCGATGTAGGTCAGCGTCGATTTCCTCATCCAGGGAAGGAAGATAACAGCCACCTCTTGCGATAAAAACATTCACTAGAGTTACGGTGTAGTCACTTAACCTTTCCAGTTGACACGCCCATAATCCCTTATCAACCACAAACGTGTTTTTACGCGGAAATATCCCCATGCTCCCCCCCCTTTCAGTTGAATTCGCGCCAGGAAGGCAAGATGTGATGGTACAATTTAGCACTTTAAATTCTTTTAAATCGCATTTTGGAAACAGGGCCAGAGCATCATTTAAGTTAAGATTTAGCATTTGGTAGCAGATTTTGAGAAAATTATTATTAAGGAAGGACTCTAAATCATGAAAATAATTTTATCTTGTAGATTTTCCCATGGAAATTAGGAAATAAGGGAAATTGGTTTATTATTTCGCCCTTTGTGGGCTTAAAAAAAAAAAAAAAAAAAAAAAAAAAAAAAAAAAAAAAAACCAGAAATGCGAACGAAGCGTAGGTAGCGCTTGCGCCGTACGAGTGGGGCCTTCCTCTTGTTCACGGAACCTTCTACAGCCCCTTGAGATGGTCCTGAGCGCTCAGGCTTTTAATTGCTCGAATTACTTTTTACTTTCTTTACTCAGACAACTTTTAATATCGTAAGTGAATAAACACGGCCACTCGAATTAAATGCTTTCAAACATCGACATGTTTTGTCGATGTAGCATGCCTTAAAGAGCGAACAGGAAGGTAACCATAGAATACAGTTTCGGAATTGTATCGCAGATTCACGACCATTTCTTATTTCGTTCGTGATTTTGTATTTTGGGATCGACTTCGCATTTTATCGCACATTCAAAATCTTCAGAAGTATATTTGGTGTCGGGCGAGGGAAAGACGAAAATTGAAAAATAAGCTCGTAAGACAATTTTAAGCATATCTTGTCTAATAAACTACTTAGATATTCCAAATGGCTGAGCCGCAATAATTTAGTTTAAAAAAAACTATTTATATGCAAAAATGTGCATTGTTGAAACACAGAAACACTCCAGAAACATTTAAATTGTTTATTATTAAAAAAATAAAAGAACAGATTTGTTCAGAATAAAAAATTAACCGAAAAGAAAAAAAATCCAGTCGAATTATGCAAAGTGTGATTTTTGTTTATTTCTGCGTCAGTCAGACCTTAAGGCAGGGATTTGTGCGGGGTGAAAGCGCCCCCAATCTGGGGCG